CTCAATCATGTGCAAGACAAAAGCAGTCCTTGCTCTTCTGTTTGCTTTTGCTTTTTGGTTTGGTGAGAGAGGGTCTCCTGGAGCACAGGCTGGCCTCAAGGCCACTGTGTAGCCAAAGATGACCTGAACTGCTGGTCCTCCTGCCTCAACTTTCCTAGCTTTAATAACTGCCATGTGCCGGGCCACAGTGGTGCATGCCTTTAATCCCAGCAATCGGTAGGCAGAGGCAGCTGAACCTCTGTGACTTTGAGGCCAGCCTGGTCTACAGAGCGAGTTCAGGGACAGCCATGATTGTTAAACAGAGAACCCCGTCCTGACAAAGCAATAAAAAAAAAAAAAAAAAGCCAAGTGCTCACCTTTATGAGACTTTTCTTGTTTTTCTGTCAGTTTAATGGCCTAACCTGAATCTACCTGTATTTTAATTGCTATCTTCTCCCCAGGGCCTGACAGTCAACACCTCGCCACATAGGCTGAGGCCTCGTGTGACTTCTGGTGCCGCTGGTACCAGCTTGACCACAGTCACCAAGTGTAAGTTTTAACGAAGCCTCCTTTGTTCTATTTACCAATAAAGACTTGGGAGTCAGATGTTGGGTGATAACTTGCTAGCTCAGAGAGGCCAAGAAGCAACCAGTCTACTTTCCTGTTTGGATAGAGACCCAGCAAGAGAAGCATCTCTAACTCATCCCAAACCAAAAAGACCGTGAATCGCTAAGTGCCTCCCTACACCTTCCTGTGCATTCCTCTCTTCCTATTGCCGGCTACTTTGTTCTTCCTTGGCTAATTCTTGTCAACTCGTTGCTTGCTCCACTCCCTGTGCTTTTTTCTTTTTCTTCCCTTTATTTCAGTTTGTTGAGACAGATGGATAGGCACGCCTTACAGAGTGAGGTTGGATATTTATTTTGTGGGTATGGAAGCGAAGGGGAAAGAGGAGAAGAACAGAGAGGCAGGGAGAGAGAGAAACAGAAGGGGGAGGAGGAGTAGTGGGCAGAATGGAGCAAGGCAGAAGCTGCCTCTTAGGGAGGAGAGACGGAAAAGGCCGCGCTCCATGAGTTTTTAATCAATTTTATTAACACAGTCTCAAGATTTTCAGAGTATGATCAAATATCACACTCCTGACTTTCCCATTGAGCTCTTTCATAATCTGTATCAGCTGACCCTGTAGGACTCTCGGCATGCTGGGCACATCTAGTTGTGCATGTTTGATTTTGTGTGGGGGGTCTGAGTGAGTGAGTGAGTGAGTGAGTGTAATATGTATGTAGGTATGTGTCTATGTCTGTGTCCTGCAAAGTCCATGTCGAAACTTCAAACCTAAAAAACAGTATTAACATTTGGGGACTCATAAGTACTAGAGATTTGCCACACAGCAGAACAGGTGGCCTTTAGAAAAGAACTTGATAGAGTGAGCTCATGCCTTTCCTTGACCATGTAGGAATACATACAAAGTACCAATTAGAGTTAGAAAGCAGCCCTGTTACACACTCAGTCTCTTGGCGTCTTGCTCTCAGCTTGCCAATGTCCAGATATGCAAGCGACCAATTTCTGTTGTTTGTAAGTGATACAACTGAGACATTTTGTTTGAGAGCAGAGGGGCCCAGGTGCCAGGATATGGCTCCATGACCTACAAATGTTGTCTGTGGGGCTCTGGCTGACAAGTATTTTCTTGATCATTTTGAACAAACTGATCAGACTACTGACTTCGGGTACATTGGACTTTGGTAAGAAGTGTCAGAAATGATAGTGATCATGTGATGAATGATGTCATCTTGCTCTCGGCCCCACAGATATTAGTCCCAGGCCATAGGGTGCCATGGAAAACAGTATTTTGTCGCAGCATCTCGATGTAGTAAGGAGCTGCCATCCTAAAGGAAACATCAAACTAAGTTGAAAGAAAAATAAATTGAACACTTTGAGTGTAGTCATGATGAGTTCTTACCAACTTGTCACGGAAGTTTTGCTAGGGACCAAGTGAAAAGCAAAACACTATCTGCCTACTAAGGAGAGAGTATCAGAGCTCGTAACTGGGAGGGCCAGTGCTCTGGAGTTCATTGTGATACCTATGATTGCTTGTTTTATTGTTAAAGTGGACAGGGTCCTTGTTAAGGTTTGGGGGTGTCAAGGTCCCACAAAGAATCAAGTGTTTGGACAGTGTTCCCACCACGTGACACCATTTGGGGAAAATTGTGGACCTTGGAGAGTGGGCCTATCAGGAAAAATCGGGGCGCTGGGCAACACTAGGGACAGTCATTTGAGTGTAACCAGCGCTGCTCCCCACTGACCAGAGCAGCCTTCCCTGTCCTGAGAACAGAAGGGAGGAAAACCAGTGATCTAAGCCAAGCCATCATTGGTCCATTTCTTGCTCTGACCTCACAATGACAGACCCCTGTTGCCTAACTGCTCTGGCTGAGGCTGCCTCCTCTCCTTACAGTGCAGAGGCTGATCTGATCTTCTGTTGAAACAGTGATTTAGATAGAAGTGAGCTGGTTGTATGTGGTGGATATTTTTGAGCTGTTGAATCTGAACACAGTGAGTTTCCTTCTAAGGTCACAGATTTGGGGTTTAGAGGTTTGGGTCTCTAGGATTGAACAGAACCCTTTCTTCCTTTCTCTCTTCCTCAGTCTGCGGTATAATTTGGGGCAATTTTTATTATCTGCATCAATTAGATGTTTACTCTATTTTAATCTTTAGTTTTAATATTTTCTCTGGGTTCATTCCTTCGTTCACCATTTTAAAACATTTGTTTACATTGACTCTACAACATGAGTATTCTCACAGTGACATTTACCTACACGCACATGGAAAGCTTTGACCACATTCCGCCGATCTCACCGCCTGCTGCCCACCCCTTCCAAGTCCCTTGGTGTTCTCACTTTTTCACTCAGCCAGTTACTTTTCGAGTCCAGGCCAAGTCATGTGGACTCCTGTCCAGAGGACTGATAGGCACACTGGATGGTGTCCTAAGGAAGGGCACAGATGGATGTCTGCCTGTGCTCTAGCAGAAAGCCTCCTCCAAATTGGTTATCTTAGGATCTTCCTGGCAGTTCAAAGTCAGGGCTGGATAGGGCCAGAGGTAAGAGTTAGATCCCATTTGTGACGCTAATGATGGAACAGGGCAGCTGAAAAGGATTCAAGAACAGAAAAAGTGAAAGTCTAAAAGAACCTGTTCTTTGAGGAAGAGAGGAACTTCCCTTGGTGTGGGACATAGCACACCAGGTCCCTCCACCATCTTCTGTCCTTCTGTGTGCCTGAAACTGGCCTTACGAGGGATGTTTTCATTTTCAATCAGAGGGCAGGGCGATTGCAGTACTAAAGCTCGTGTGTTATCAGGCACGGGGGTGGGGGCAATAATCATTTGGAAGCAAAGGATCAGTTCTGCTGGCCAAAGACCTCAAGGAACATGTTCTGGAACAAAACTACCTAGTGCTGGAATGCTCTGCCCAGCACTCCAGAGACCCACCCCAAATACCTGTCCTTTTGGAAAAACGGGGGCATTTTGTTGACAAGGACTGTCTTTATCTGATTATCACAAGCCTGGGCTAGAGGGAAACTCTTTCATCTCATCTTTTCTTTATTTTTCCAGACAGGGAGCCTCTCAGTGTGACTCTGGCTGTTATGGAACTTGGTTTGTAGACCAGGCTGGCCTCGACCTCGCAGAGAGCTGCTAGCCGCCAGTGACTAAGTGTGTAATGTGTGCACATGCGATGCCTTAGGGGTGTGAACGTTCTATTGACAGAGAACGAACGTCCAGCTGGAACTCTCGTAAACTTCCATCCAGTTTCTTTGGCTTTGCCCCATAGCTGGTTCTAGGTGGGTCCTGTGAGGTCCATTTAAAGTGTAAATCTGTTGATTACTTAGGCGAGGTTCCAGCAGCATAGCTTCAAGAGCACGAAAAGGCTGATCGCCGCCTCCCCGCCGCAGATGTTGATGTCACACTCACGGACACACTTGTGTCCATGCCCTGTGTCTCACAGCCAAGGTTACTTTTGAAGCACTGGGGCCCTCAATCATGTGCAAGACAAAAGCAGTCCTTGCTCTTCTGTTTGCTTTTGCTTTTTGGTTTGGTGAGAGAGGGTCTCCTGGAGCACAGGCTGGCCTCAAGGCCACTGTGTAGCCAAAGATGACCTGAACTGCTGGTCCTCCTGCCTCAACTTTCCTAGCTTTAATAACTGCCATGTGCCGGGCCACAGTGGTGCATGCCTTTAATCCCAGCAATCGGTAGGCAGAGGCAGCTGAACCTCTGTGACTTTGAGGCCAGCCTGGTCTACAGAGCGAGTTCAGGGACAGCCATGATTGTTAAACAGAGAACCCCGTCCTGACAAAGCAATAAAAAAAAAAAAAAAAAAAAAAAAAGCCAAGTGCTCACCTTTATGAGACTTTTCTTGTTTTTCTGTCAGTTTAATGGCCTAACCTGAATCTACCTGTATTTTAATTGCTATCTTCTCCCCAGGGCCTGACAGTCAACACCTCGCCACATAGGCTGAGGCCTCGTGTGACTTCTGGTGCCGCTGGTACCAGCTTGACCACAGTCACCAAGTGTAAGTTTTAACAAAGCCTCCTTTGTTCTATTTACCAATAAAGACTTGGGAGTCAGATGTTGGGTGATAACTTGCTAGCTCAGAGAGGCCAAGAAGCAACCAGTCTACTTTCCTGTTTGGATAGAGACCCAGCAAGAGAAGCATCTCTAACTCATCCCAAACCAAAAAGACCGTGAATCGCTAAGTGCCTCCCTACACCTTCCTGTGCATTCCTCTCTTCCTATTGCCGGCTGCTTTGTTCTTCCTTGGCTAATTCTTGTCAACTCGTTGCTTGCTCTACTCCCTGAGTTTTGTTTTTCTTTTTTCTTTATTTTTATTTTGTTGAGACACTTGGATAGGCACACCTTGCAGATCAAGATTGGATATTTATTTAGTGGGTATGGAACGGAAGGGGAAAGAGGAGAAGAACAGAGAGGCAGGGAGAGAGAGAAACCGAATGGGAAAGAGGAGTAGTGGGCAGAATGGAGCATGGCAGAAGTTGCCTCTTCTGGAGGAGATATGGAAAAGGCCACATTCCCCTGCTCTCACTGCCTCCTGCCCACGTCTTCCAAGTCCCTAGTGTTCTCATTTTTTCACTCAGCTTTCTTGTACTTGGTGATCAAATGGGAAGAAAACCCGTGAGCTGTGAAAAGCCACCATTTGTCCTTTTCTTGCTCTGACCTCACAATGACAGGTCCCTGTGCCCTTACAGGTCTGGCTGATGTTGCCTCCTGTCCTTACAGTGCAGGTGTGTTCGTGAGGTGGAAAGTGGTTGGAGCTCTGTGCTGCTGAAAGAGAGTATTTGGAATTTCAAGAGCTGCTGGACTCCAACGTAGTAAGTTTCCCTCCAGCTTTGTTGCCTTTGATTGTTGTTGTTGTCTGTGTATTTATTCATTTTCTGGCTTGGTTTATGAGCTTACCTTTTCATGTTTTTTTTTACTCTCTGTTTTGCGGGTGTATGGGAGGAGAATTTAAGACAGAAATTCAATGTGTAGCTCTTCCCTTCTTGGAACTCACTCTGTAGATATGCCTGGCCTCACACTAAAAGATCACCTGCTTTGCCTTCTGAGTGTTGGGATTAAGGGCATGTGCCACCACTGCCTGGTAGTTTTTATTTTTAAGTTGTGCTTCTTGGGTTATAATTTTTAATATTATTATTTTATGTGTATGAGTATTTTGTTTTCATGTCTGTGTCTGTACCATGAGCCTCACACCTGTGGAGGTCACAAGAAGAAGACAGATTAGCTAGAACTTGAGTAACAATTGATTGTGAGCACCATGTGTGTTGGGCCTCAAACCAGGGTTCTCTGAAAGAGCAGGAGGTGCTGTTAAACACTAACTCATCTCTCCAGAACCTCTGCCTTTAGTTTTACTTCTTCATATACTTTTGTTATGTGTTCCTTGGTCCATTTCTCTTTTCTCATTTCAAGTTTTTCCTTGTTATGGCATACCATATCATAGGAACAATTTAGTCCTGGCAATCGCAGGAACATCTCTAATGCATTCTGAGCACTTGATCATGTGATTAACCCACGCTGCTATGCTTTCTTCTCACACGACTTCCTCCACATTCCTAGGAGGCCCCTCTTATGTTGAGGACCTCCTCCTGCTCCTAAGTTCCACATATGAGAGAAGAAAAGTGACACATTTGAAGGACTGGCTTTTCTCATGTAGAGCGATCTTCTCCGGTGACAACCATGTTCTTGAGAGCCCCACAGTTTCATCCTTCTCTATGGCCGTCCTTCTGTATGACTGTGGCACTCTTGCCCTTAATTCTGTTTCAATGTTGTGTTGTCAGGCTAAATGCGTAGAGATATCCTTGCAAGGATCCTTGGGAGCATATATTAACCATGAAGTATGGCCTGGCTTATGTGAATTTGGTGAAAAGTATTAAGTAGTATTATTAAGTATTTTTACATCTATGTTCATCATGGAAATAGCCTCTATTTTTCTTCATTGTGTTTTCCTGGTTTGGGCATGAATGAGTTTGGAACTGCTAAGTACCTTTCTATTTTGTGGAGTATTGAGGAGCACTGACATTTGTTTTCAAGAGATTGAAAGGATTCATCAGTAGGTTTGCCTGCTCCTGGGCTTTCCTATGCAGATTCTTCCCTCATAAATATTTCAATCTTGTTCTTTATCATATCTTCTTAGTTGAATTTATATCAAGAAGTTTCTCAATTCCATTCACATTTTCCAGTCCAGGAGAAGGACTGGAACAGATTTCTTTGGGGGATGGGTGGGTTAGCCTGGAGAGACAGCCCAGCAGTTAGGAGCATGGACTCTTCTCGCAGAAGACCAGGTCTGTCTCACAGCAATCCCATCACAACATAACTTCCTGAAGTGCCGCACCTAGGGGATCTGTTGCCGTCTTATGTCTTTCCAGGTCATAGAAATAAAATTATACAAAAAAAAGACTTATAACACTATTTGAAATTATAGGTAGTACATGTGAGTGTACATGTAGGCGACCTCAAGTGTGTGTTTGTGTGTATATATATGTGTGTGTGTGTCTGTGTTTGCCCTTGCGATCGTCCACGCATGTGTTTGGATGCCCTCAGAGGTCAGAAGTGTAGGATCTCCTAAACTGGAATCACTTGATCCGCTTGGCCTGGGTCCTGAGAACCAAACACAGGTCCTCTGCCGGAATAGTAAACCTTCTGATCTCCTGAGTCATCTCCCCACCAAGACACACTCTATTTTCGGGGTTTCTGTTGTCTCATCAACTTCTCATGCATATGATTTTATTAGTATCTTGTCTCTCAATGAGTGTTCAGCTCAAGTAAGAGGATGATTCTCCTGTCCAATCAGTGGCTCGTAGCTTCTGCGACCCTTTGTTTTATTCTCTCCGTTTCTGGGTGAATCCGGCCAACCTGACCTGTGTTATGTTCTGCTGTCCACTGCTTTGGAAGGTACTTCCTTCCCTTCCTGAGCACTACGTAGCTGGTTAGGTTGCCTGAAATATCGGTGACTCTTTTTCTCTTTGGAATGTAGGAATTCATAGTGATAAACATTCTCATTGGTGTGATTTAAACTGTTTAAAGTTCCTGTTGTGTTTCAGCAAGAACCTGGCCATGGAGCAGTTCAGAGAGACCCTCTACTGTGACAAGGAGAGATTTAGCAGTATCTATCAAATGACAAAAACTCTGGGACGAGGAACCTTTGGCACAGTGAAACTGGCCTTTCACACGCCCACTGTCAGCTACGTGGCTGTGAAGATTCTAGAAAATGTGAAGGGGGACTCTGCCCGCAACAATAATGAGGTTGATATAATGAGATCCCTCATTCATCCGCATATAATCAGGTTCCTTCAGGAGGTGCAGACACGGGAGATGACATATGTCATCATGGATTATGCCTCGAAAGGGAACCTGCTGCATCAAATTCGAAAACAGGGAGGCTTACAGGAGTGCGAGGTGCGAAGGCTCTTTACCCAGGTAGTACAGGCAGTGAAGTACTGCCACGACAACTGTATCGTCCACAGGGACATCAAAGCCAACAACATCTTAATCGATGCCTCTGGGAATGCAAAACTTTGTGATTTTGGCCTGGCTGTCAGAGTTGTCCCCGGGAAAAAACTAAAGACTTTCTGCGGCACTCTGCCGTACTGTGCCCCGGAACTTTTGAAGGTGAAGCCATATGATGGCTATGCCAGCGATGTTTGGAACTTAGGCGTGCTCCTCTACTACATGGTGGCCAGGCAGCTTCCGTTCCAAGCGAGCTCTTATAAGGGATTGAAGCAGCAAATTTTAGCTGCAAACTTCAGCGTTCCTCATCATGTCCCTCTCGATATTGTTAATGTAATCATGGAAATCTTCATGATCAGCCCTAAAAAGAGGCCCACCATCAGTCAAATCCTGAGGTGCCCTATGATAAGGGACAGCCAGGCACGGGCATCCATCCAGAGTCTCCCAGGCACCCGGAGCCCTAGCATTGCCAGCACCATGGCGGGCATTGAGTACCAACAAGAAGACCAAAAATTTAATCAGGCAATGGCCACACACCTGAGTCTGCAACACCAGGCACCCGGGGGAGACAGCTGCCATCACCAGGTGAAACCCACAAAACCCATGGAGCCAGGCCTTGTCCTCAACCAGGCCGATCTTCACCTCTTTTCTGGGATTCTCAGGAAAGCTGCTGAGCCTACTTCCCCAACCTTCATCGTGCCATCTGAGCCCCAGGAGAAAGAAGATGGGAATTCCAGGCAGGGTGGCAGAAGGCATAGCATGCCTGCCACCCTGTGCTGCCAGCCAAGGAGGATCCACCTTGCCCACCTATCCCACCTGCGCTGTCCTGTGGCTGATTCCCTCATGAGCAGCAGCCTGGACAGCAGCAAGAGTTTCTCGCCATCGAAGATAGGGTTGTGTGGCAGCCTGACGGCGAGTGCCCAGCCATCCTGCTCTCTGTACCACCTTCTTGGGGCAGACCACAATGAGGCAGCAAATGACGCAGAGAAACTCTGTGTAACCCCCAAAGGCTCCTCCCTTGGGAACACACTGATAGTAGAAGTGACCAACAGCCATGGCCAGCTCCAGGATACCGGGCCAACTTCCTCCCGAAACCAGAGGCGTCACCGCTGGAATAGGCTGAAGAAAACCATTGCAAACGTTTTTCGACACCTGTGTTGCTGTCTGCCTCCTGCAGAGAGTAACCATGCCTCCCGTGAGAACCAGGCTCCACAGTCAGGGGATCCTAGAGGCACCCACAGAACCAGGTGAGCACCTTTCTCACTTCATCTGATTTGTACTTTTCCTCCTGTCCTTTGTGATAAATGATGCCTGTGTCCACTCGTGGCACACTGTGAGCATAACAACCTGTCACTTCAGAAAGACCAAGTGTCGGGGGCTGGAGAGATGGCTCAGTGGTTAAGAGCACTAGCTGCTCTTCCAAAGGTCCGGAGTTCAATTCCCAGCAACCATATGGTGGCTCACAACCATCTGTAACAAGATCTGGCGCCCTCTTCTGGCTTGCGGGCATACATGGAGGCAGAATGTTGTATACATAATAAATAAATCTTTAAAAAAAAAAAAAAAAAAGACCAAGTGTCCCCTGAAGTGTGACCTCAGGCTTGTTGAGCAACAGGGGGACAGCAGAGGTGTTGAGCCAAGCAGGGAGAGGTGGGGGCATGGCCAAAGGAGGCAAAGATTCCTTGGAGGAACAGTCGGGAACTTGGGCGCTGCAGGGCAGTGCACTAAGTCTTGTGTGTTTTGAAGTCACTAAGAGTCTCCTTCCTGTGCCTTTCTCTTTGAAGCCCCGAAGAGGTCAAGCCCCAGCTCCATGGCTTCTGAGCCATGGGTTGGGGATCGGTCTGGATGAGATTCAGACAGCCCCTCTGGGGACCCATGCCAGATGCCCAGGACACCCACCATCTGGCCACAGGCACCTCCCACAGAGGAAGAGCTGTCTACTCCAGAGAACATCTATCTCTCCAGGTAAAATCCCAGGCAGGAAGGGTAGGCTTCCCACAGGGTCTAGCTCAGTGTGGAGGACTGAAGTGCAAAGGTGCCCTAGGCTGTCTTGTGGAACAATAGCGCCTTGCCCTCTCCCCCTGCCTGCGGAAACATCAGAAGTGGTGCTCTGGGTAGTGACTGACCTTTGCCCCGTTTCTTGGCAGAGAACACGGTCTTCTCCATAGGGTGAGACTTCTCTCCCCCAAGGAGAGTATTCCTAGTCAGCCTGCCCTAAGTTGGGTTGCCAGGTTGAGAATGTGTCCTGCAAGCAGCCCTGTAGGACCGACTCCTCTAGAGGGCAGGCTCCTGCAAGAACCTTTAGCAGGAATCCCCACAAGTCATCCCAGCAGGTTCCATTGCTTGAGTCCTCAGACCCAAAGCTTGGGAAAATCTGAGCTGGGGAGCGAGTGACCCCAGGGCAGCAGAGTCCCCCTCTCCACCAATTCTGCCTTCCAGCTACTCACCTCCTGCCTCTGCCTGCTTGCTCCTTCAAGGCCAGCATTCTCATCAGTGACAACCAGCTCCTGCACTTACCATCATGTGCCACACCCTGAGGGACTGGTAGGTGTCAGAGTGAAACCTGAAAATTTAATAAGGAGAGACAGCAACCTGCTGTGCCTCCTGCCTCCAGCTTGCCTGAGTCTGCCTGAATCTGCACTGGCCAGTGAAATTCTTTAAGAAGGCTTCTGTTTTTCTCAGCCTTGCAAAGGTAAGCAGGCTTTTCCACTTCTTTTGGAGGTGGGCGTGGGGGGGGAGGGGAGGACGCTTCCGGGAAGCTGCCTCATCCATGCCACAGTCACATTGGTAAAATCTCATCTCATGGTCTTTCTACCTAGACCTTGTCAACCTGTGACAGCAAGAGACCCAGCGCAGGTCGTTGGGATGGCGGGTACCCAGGCCTCCGGTGCCACTCTGTTCTCTTGCCCCGCCAATTTTATGGCAATGTCTCCAGACTCGGATCTCCCTCATTTCTCCTTGGAGGTGCTCCTGTTTCCAGATACAGAAGTGTGGCTTATCCGAGCCCCTCCAGACTTTGCCCCACAGTGGTGAGTGGTCACTCCCACCCCACCCGCTGGGAGTACCCCCCACACACACACACACACCCTGGAAACTGAACCCACCCCACACTGTGAACCTAGAACTGTAGACAGCCTTTCTGACAACCCGGAGAGTCAGCCTCATTCTGTCTAGCCCAGGCTGGATTCTTAAGTCCCAGCATCGTCTGGCCTCGGTTTCTTGAGTCTGGAACTACAAGTGGGTGTCACATGTTCTTTTGTTTTGGAGAATCTTTTTTTGTTTGTTTGTTTTGTTTTTCAAGACAGGGTTTCTCTGTAGCTTTGGAGTCTGTCCTGCTGTCCTGGAACTAGCTCTTTTAGACCATGCTGGCCCTCAAATCACCTGCCTCCCGAGTGCTGGGATTAAAGGCTAGCACAGCCACCACTGACTGGCTTTGTTTTGGAGAATCTTAACATCCTATGCAGTAGTTAAACTCGGATCTTTCTGCTTCTACCTCCCAATTGCGGCTACCGAGCCCAATTTCATACAATGCTGGTGATCAAATCCAGGGCCCATTCATACTAGGCACAAACTCCCTGTCTGAGCCTCGTCCTTCGCCTGCCTGCCTTAAACATTACTTAGCCATAAATGATGGGGTTTAGGTTTAATGTCAGCACTCAGGAGACTGAGGCAGGAAAATGGTAGGCTTCGCGGCCAGCATGAGATAGGGAATACCAAGCTAGCATCACACACGGAGGGTCTGTCTCAAGAAACAGCCAGGAGCCGGGTGGACCTGGGTCGTGATCGTGCAGCACATGGGAGGCAAAGGCTGGTGGATCTCCAAGTTCCCTGCCAGCCTGGTCTACAGAGTGAGTTCCAGGACAGCCAGGGCTACACAGAGAAACACTGTCTCGAAAACCAAAAAATAAAAACGAAGCAAGCAAGCCAGGAACGGTGGCACGTGTCTGTTTGCAGTACCCAGGAGGTGATGCATGCTAATCAGGAGTTCTAGGCCTCACACAAACCCCACACAACAGAAGTTAGTTGAAACAAAACTCAGGGCTCTAGCACTGAGCTGCACCCTAGCCTAGAAAAGCTGCTTCTAGCCCCGGCCTCCCGCTTTGCAAAGTATCTAACCAGCCTCTGCCTTCTCCCTTTCTTTCCTCAGCCTCAATGGGCGGCCTGTGCCTCTCTCTGGCTCAAAGACTGTTAAGGGCAAACTGGATGGCAAGAGGTGCCGATGCCGGGTCCTTACTGGCAGCCCTCAGGCTGGAGAAGCCACCTTGCTGGCATCGTCAACAGAGGTGGGAGGGAGACTCACTTGTGCTCCGGCCCCCCATGGGAGCATAAGGATCATGGAGGGTCTTCAAGAGTATCTTATCTCTCGGGTCCCCCTGCAGCCCATTCCCACAAGCCTGCCACCTCAGATCCCTGCCAGCCTGCAGCCTCGGTTCTCTGCCTTTGGAGGCAGCCCTCTGTTCACAGGACCTGGGTCAGTCATGGCTCTGAGGTCACCTACTTCAGGGAAGAGGAAAAGGAAGAGAAAGGTCGCAGAGGCCTCAGACATTCAGGAGGCAGTCAACGGGCATGGGGCCATGGAGGTGGACACAGCCTGGAGTGGCCTAGAAATTAGGAAGAAGAAAAAGAAGCATCAGGTGAGCAAGGTAGAGATGCTGGGGGCTGAGACACTAGAGCCCATGGCAGAGATGGCAGAGCCCATGGGACTCCCATTCCCATCTGCCAGCAGCAGCAAGAAGAGGAAGAGCAAGTCCACGGGAGCAGAGACGTTCCAGCCAGAAGAGGAGCTGGAACCCATGGAATCTGTGGCGAAAATAGAGCCTCCTGATGAGACCATCTTGGTGGGCCAAGAAGAAAAGAGGCAGAAGGAGGCTGAAGGGATGCAAGCAGTGGAGGCCATCATGGCTGCCTCTCAGCTACAGATCACTGTGGAACCCCAGGAGGAAGCCTTCCCACTGCCCCCCACAAAGAAGAGGAGAAAAGAAAAGAGGCAGAATTTGGTGATGGAGCCAGATATGGGGCTCCCTGGAGTGACCACAGAGCCTGAACTTTCAGAACATGGGCTTCAGGTTGAGGCAGCTCCTGTGTCTCCCAAGAAGACCAAGAAGAAGAAAAAGTGGCTGGGCAAGACGCTGGCCTTGGGGGCAGAGGTGGCAGAAGCTGCACTTGCAGCTAACTTTGAGCCCCAGGTGGCTCCAGCACCCAGCAAGAAGAAAGAGAAAGGACAGAAGGTGATAGATTCCCCCGTCTGAGATGAGTGACCCAAGAGAATTTGAGGAACCTGAGGCTGGAACAATTCAAAGATCCACAAAAAAGAAGGAGGAGAAGGAGGAGGAGGAGGAGGAGGAGGAAGAGGAGGAAGAGAAGAAGGAGGAGGATGAAGAGAAGGAGGAGGAGGAGGAAGAGGAGGAGGAAGAGGAGGAGGAAGAGGAGGAGGAAGAGGAGGAGGAGGAGAGGAGGAGGAGAGGAGGAGGAGGAGGAGGAGGAGGAGGAGGAGGAGGAGGAGGAGGAAGAGAAGGAGGAGGAGGAAGAGGAGGAGGAGGAGGAGGAAGAAGAGGAGGAGGAGGAGAAGGAGGAGGAGGAAGAGAAGAAGAAGTCAGGAAAGTGGGGTGTAAGGCATCATTCCCCACTGAGAGATGTCTCCCACAGGACAGGAGAAAAAGCAGAGGAGCCTTACTAACATCCTGGGGAAAGTGAGGAACTAACAGAGCTGAGGTGGCCCAGGAAGGCTGTCAGAAACCAGCTGCAGGTGGTCCCCTCAAGCAAACACATCAGTACATCCAGCAGGAGCCTGGGCCTGGAAAAGGCTTTATTGCAACACTAAAGCCTCAGTGGCAGCGGATCACCGGGGCGCTTTGAGGAAGGGTTCATGGAGGACCAGGACGTCAAAGAGCCTGCGAGCCTAAGGGCAGGGGAGAAGAGCTTATCATTAAAGGCTGTCTGAAAAAAAAAAGGGGGTCCCTAAGTGTTCCCCCACTGGGAGAACACATTTCTGGGTTTTAATCTGCTCTGTCTCTGAGCAACCCTATCTGAGAAGAACAGAACCCCATGCTTCCCAGCCCATCATCACGGGATCTATTCCTGGCCTCAGCCACTGGACCAGACTGTACTACTGAAATGGAGAACTTCTCAGGAGACGTTGGCCAGCCTGGGAGGCTGATCTGGCCTGACACTGTGATCCCCTCTGACTGCTGTATTGTTCCCCTGTCCTCTACGCACTCGAACACGCAGCCACTGGTGAGTCTCTCTCTCTCTTCTGTGTCTCTGTCTCTCTCTGTCTCTGTCTCTGTGTTTGTGGGTTTGTTGCACATGAACAACTCTCAGGCAGGCCAGCTGCTCTGTCAGATGTTAACCCCCAGGGAATCACCAGCTGCTCTGTCAGATGTTAACCCCAGGGAATCACCAGCTGCTCTGTCAGGTGTTAACCCCCAGGGAATCACCAGCTGCTCTGTCAGATGTTAACACCCAGGGAATCAGCAGCTGCTCTGTCAGATGTTAACCCCAGGGAATCAGCAGCTGCTCTGTCAGATGTTAACCCCCAGGGAATCAGCAGCTGCTCTGTCAGATGTTAACACCCAGGGAATCACCAGCTGCTCTGTCAGATGTTAACCCCAGGGAATCAGCAGCTGCTCTGTCAGATGTTAACCCCCAGGGAATCAGCAGCTGCTCTGTCAGATGTTAACCCCAGGGAATCACCAGCTGCTCTGTCAGATGTTAACCCCCAGGGAATCACCAGCTGCTCTGTCAGATGTTAACCCTAGGGAATCAGCAGCTGCTCTGTCAGATGTTAACACCCAGGGAATCACCAGCTGCTCTGTCAGATGTTAACCCCCAGGGAATCACCAGCTGCTCTGTCAGATGTTAACCCCAGGGAATCACCAGCTGCTCTGTCAGATGTTAACCCCCAGGGAATCACCAGCTGCTCTGTCAGATGTTAACCCCCAGGGAATCAGCAGCTGCTCTGTCAGGTGTTAACCCCAGGGAATCACCAGCTGCTCTGTCAGGTGTTAACCCCCAGGGAATCACCAGCTGCTCTGTCAGATGTTAACCCCCAGGGAATCACCAGCTGTTCTGTCATATGTTAACCCCCAGGGAATCACCAGCTGCTCTGTCAGATGTTAACCCCAGGGAATCACCAGCTGCTCTGTCATGTGTTCACCCCCAGGGAATCACCAAGCGCTGAGGATGGCCATAAGCAGCCACAATAATGCAAATATAATATAAAAATTACAATTGATTGTAATAGACACGCAAATTCAGACAAACAAGCACACATAACACCGTGGGTGACCCACCCTAAAAATGACAGACCCACAGAAGTATGCTAAGGGAACACATTCTACCTGCAACCATAGATGAGAATTGGCTCTCATTCCCGGACAGGTGTATTCAGTGCTAGTGCACGCTTCCATCTTATCTTCTGACGTTTGTTTGTGTCTACTGTGGTTTGTAGGAACAGTATGCTACGAACTGTTATTCTTTGGTAGTTTTAGAGTTCACACAGAGTCTTGCCCTGTATCTCGGGCAGGACTGAAATGCATGTGTAGTCTTCCAGGCTGGCTTTATAGTCCTGAAGATGCTGCTGCCTCAGCTCCTCCTTAGCTGCACTGAAGCACTGGCAGCATTGCGGTTTAGTCAAGGCCTCATAGAGCCCAGGCAGGCCACTCTGTAGCCAAAGAAGATCTTGAGCAGGATCCTCATCTTCTCATCTCTAACTGCCCACTGCAGGAATTCCTTCCTGCTTTGAGCCACTCTGCCCTGTTAAGTAGGAAACCCTCCAGGCCAGGGTAGGCATGAGTGATGGGGGAGAGTCTTCTGTTTTGTGTTAATTTCATTAGTTAAATAAAGAGACTGCCTTGGCCCCTTAATAGGACAGAAAATTAGGTAGGTGGAATAAACAGAACAGAATGCTGGGAGAAAAAAGCCTAGTCAAGCAGTCGCCATGATTCTCCCACTCCAGACAGACGCAGGTTAAGATCTTTCCTGGTAAGCCAGCTCGTGGTACTACACAGAATATTAGAAATGGGTTAGATCAATATGTAAGAGCTAGCCAATAAGAGGTTAAAACTAATGGATCAAGCAATGTTTAAAAGAATACAGTTTCCATGTAATTACTTCCGGGGCTAAGCTAGCCATGCAGGCAGCCAGGCGCCGGGAACGCAGCCCGCCGCTCCTATTACAACTCATGAGTGAATTCCAGGCTGAGTGGAACTTGTCTCCAAAAGAATATGGAGATTCTAAATATTCTGAGCTATCAGGTCTGGAGACCAGGGCTGGCGAGATGGGTGGACAGGACTGTGTGACAACAGGACGTGCCAGCATCCTTGTGTCATCCTCGCCTGGTGGGGAAGGGAGCAGGTGCGGGAGCTTGCTGGCCTAACATCAGCGAGACACCTGTCTCACAAAGTAAGGTGGAAGTCCCGTGGTGATGGGGCACCCGCTTGCCTCGGGATGGGGAGATAGACGCAGGCAGATCTCAGTTCCAGGACTGCCAGGTAAACACAGAGAAACCCTGTCTCAGACACAAAGCAAAAAGATTTAAGGAATAAAAGCATCTGATGAATATTCCTGGTCTACATGTGTGCTCAAAGGGTGAGGACACACAGACAGACAGACAGACAGACAGTCACACACACACACACTTATGGTCATGCATATATCATACACAAACACATACCTGCCTTTTGTAGAGTTCTTCAACCCTGTCCTTGTCTGTTCCCCTTCGCTGCTGACTGTCTGTACCTTGTACTCATGGTCGTCTTTTTTCTTTGCGAAAGCATATGACTCTTAAACCCCACAGTGGCATATCTATTGGTTCCTTCTAATGAAGAATCCTTTCTTTTTCTCTCCTCTTGTTTGGACTCCGGTTTACTGTATGTAGTCCCGGCTGCCAAGGACCGTCGATCCTCCTGCCCTCAGCCAACTGAGTGTAGGTGGTATAGGTATGTAACTTGTCTTAGTGGGTTTTAGAAGTTTTACTTTTTAAATCATCTATGTAGGGGTGGATATCCTTGATCTTTTAATCCTTCTGCCTCCGCGTACAAATGTAGCGATTACAGGAATTCCACACCAGCCTGGTTTGTTTGGTTCTGGAAACCAAACCCAAGTTTCTGCATGGTGGGCAAGAGTTACCCCAACTGAGTCACACCTGGAGCTCAGGCAGGCTAGCCTCATACTCTCTGTAGCTGAGAAATACCTCCTGATTGAACTGCAGATCTTACCTATTGACCCTAATTTTTCTTTCTTTCTTTCTTTCTTTCTTTTTCTTTCTCTCTCTTTCTTTTCTTTTAGCCTTTCTAGATGACCTGTTTTTCTGACTGAGAGTCTTTAGAAGTTGCACACACAAGGGGTGTTGCTGGATGCCACTCTTCTGAAGCTAGTGAGCTGTGTTCTGGGTGGGGGGAAGAGGAGGCTGTCCCAGTCATGTGTCATCTCAGAGTCCCCTGTGTATCCAGGCAGCATTGAAGGTGTGTTCTGACCAGAAGCCTTCGAGTCGCCCGCAACTAACTCCCTATGCACCTCCGTGCGACAAAATGGAAGTCACCAGCCCATGTCCCGACCTCAGGCTGATGAAACTAGGAAGATGGAGCCTCACCCCCACTGCTTGAAGGTTTAGTCACCTCACCCCTTGGGGCAATCTCCTATCCCTCACATTTAGACAGTTCTAGGGAGTTTGTGGATTTGTCTTAAAACTAGATGCTAGAGCTAGGGTGAAGGTGTATGCCTATAATCCCAGGACTCTGGAGGCTTAGACTAGCGACTAGTCATAAATTCAAGGCCAGCTGGGCCTCCATGAGGCACAGTAGTCTAGGCTTTGGTGGCTCTCTCTCTAAAACACAGAAAGTGAACGACAGGACTAATGCTCAGTATGCCTAGCATACACACTGGCTCTGGCCCTGGCTTCTTTAGCATAAAATAAAACCAGGTGGAGCATGCCGCGAATCCCAGTATTGGGGGGCAGACACAAGAGGATCAGAGAGTCAAGGCCATCTTCCAACACAGAAAGTTGGAGGCCAGTCTAGGAGGAATGACACTCTATTTAACACCTACCCCCAAATCTTAATGCCCCAGTCTGAGAAAACAGTGACATAGCAGCCCATTCCAACCACGTATTCCTTGTGAATCAAAAGATCTTTCTGACAGAGAGAAGAAAATCAGGCATCCAGATGTGCAGGGCTATTTCCTGTGACTCACATCTGGAATTGGCCTGAGCCAATTGAGTTCATCCTTGTGCACAGCACTGAGGAGCTGTTGGGTAAGTACTCCTTGCTGGCCCTGTGGGAGGCACTGACAGGAAGGTTTGGGGAGCATGGAGACCCCCACCTGTGCCA